GGAAAGATTCCACGTGAAACGTTCATCTCACCTCGTAAATTCAATATTATCGTTGTCGGCAGTTCTGATAATATCACATGAAATAAAAAATAACTTGTAAAATGTAAGAATAATTTATAAATCGAGTCTTTCGGATGTTAAGGCTTGCAACTACCATCGGGTGCATGGCTATCACGACCTGTCCGAGAGATATGATTTGTAGTTACTGCGGTAATAAAGAAGAAAAGATCCCGCTAATTCATTTCTTTGGTTCTTGTCAAGTGATATAGCGACTGAAATGCACTGTTTTGGAAGAAGATTTCAAGTATAATCACTTCAAAATTGAAGCTATGTAAAAAATTACTCTGTTTAAGATCTATTACACAGAAGTAACAGTTAAAACGGCTTGAAGAAAAAACTTCATTAATTTAATCTAAAATGACAAACGATTATAGATAATAAAATCCACACAAAGTTAAAATTGATATCAAACGTCTGCCTTTTTAGAGGATCTGACGTTTTTTACATTAAAAACAAAGGTTACATTTTTAAACTAAGCTATTATGTCGTTAGCCTATTTATAGGTATTTATAACGTTATTCGTCATTTTAATGAAGTTTTTACTTCAAGTTGTTTTAACTGTTACTTATGTGTTTGTAAAGGATGAAAAAAAAGACTCGAAAATATTTTAGTAAATGGTGTGAGATAAACGGGGCTCACGGGTGAATTCAAATGACTACTTACTCCGCACAAGATCTTGCGATTCGAGCCCCTCGTCAATAAGTGTTAAAAATGATCTAATCGAGATCCACGTGAGGTTGTTGACACCAGTTAAACTATTATTTCGCGATTTAACTCGCAATTTTTCTATTATCTCGATTAGGAGGGCTCGTTTCAGTGGGGAGACACGTGAGTAAGTGATTGGAGTCCGTGAGGAAACTAGAATCAAGTCCCATTGACAAATTAACAAATATTGTAATGAAAAACAAAGAATACAATTGAACAAACTAAATAACATCTGGCTATGATTAAACATGAATAATTAAACCTTAAACTAGGTCCCAAAAGATTGAGAGAGAGACAGTTCACAAACGATATTATATTATATTACCTCTGTGATAACTTGACTTATGCTTCATAATCTTGGGCGGAACTTACTTGTATGAGGAACTATGGCACTTAGTTAAACAAAGACATGCTGAGGCGCTGAAGTGCATCGATTTTAGCGCGTATCTTTATTTCAAACTGATTTTCTCCTTCAATGGAGATCGAGCCTAAGGATCATCTGACAATGATCTAAACGTGTAGTCATCGGTTGACTAACTACTTTTTGAAGGAAGTAAACTTGTTGGAAAGGAAGCTGACTTCCTTTCTTTCTTTCCCTTTTCCTGTTAATTTCTGTGGCTAATTTTCTTTCTAATTTATAAAATAATATGACTTCTTTTTATAATTAGTATTAAAATAATAAAAATCCATGTGAATCCTCACATAGCTTCCTTCTTTTTTAAAAATCACACTAATTTAAAAAGGCGTGATTTTTTCTAAATGGAGATGGAGGTAATTTGTGTACATTAGGGGGTTTTTCCTACACTCTCTCTAAAAATTACATTAATAAAATTTTACCATAAGTAAAATAAATTTGTTACAATTCATAGTGTGGTTAACCTATTGCGTTACATTGATAATATTTCATATAATGATTACACATCACATATTTAGGAATTACTTAAAACTATACAAAGATAAGCGATTATAACAAAATGATTTGGATTAACAATCAAATTATATACGCGTACAGGAGTTCGAATATATTTTCTCCTCAAATCTACAAAGTTCTATCAGCTCTGGAAATTTATCTCGGGAAGCTGTCCTGTCCTAGTTGCTGACACTGGAACGATTCCTTAGGCAGTTGTTCTGTTGATTGCTTCTTTCCTTTAATGATGTCGATATATAAGCGTTGATATGAAAGTTTCTTCTCTTTCGTTCGTCTGTTAGCAGAGATAGTTGTGGATTTCTTGTGAAGAAATCTTCTCTGGAAAAAAGTTCTGTTGTGTATTTCAACCTGTAGGACTTCTGATGATTAAACTGTTGGGTATTTCTTAGAGTTTACAAATCGTCGAATTGCAGCATTCAAAATGGTTGGTACAATCGTAAATATTTCTCTAATGTAGGAGGTAATTTATTTCACAAATACTCTCTCTCGTAAAACTAACTTAAAACTATCTATTCTTTTATAAAATTATATGTGACTATATTATTCTACTTCCACAATAGGAAATAACAAAATATATATTTTAAAATTAAGTAGGAAGCTATTTGTATAGTAAAATTTATTTTTTACTCGATCTTACTCTATCTGATAAATGGATAGGAATGAGTCAAACTTCCGTGTTTTTGTTAATTAAAGAGATAACTCTTAAACTAAAATATTACTTTAAATTCTAAGGTGTTTTAATATTATTCCAGCTTGAGATCATATAATATGTTATTCGAAGATCGATTTAAATCTCGTATTATCTAAAAAAATAAAGCATTTCCTTTAAAATCCCGTCTTGAAAATTGTCTTTACTTGCTACATCAAGCATATTTGAATCATATTGCTCTTCACTCAGCTTCTGAGGTTGTGGAATTAATTCTTTTACCTCTCTCTCGGGTGAACTTGTCTTTTTCGGGGAATTTCTTTCCTTTGGGGAACGTCTTTTTCTTCGTATGGGCTTGACATGGTCCTCGTGGACATTAGACCTAGAGGTTTGTCTAACAATTTTAATTATATTTGCTTTCTGAGATTTGTGTTCCTCTGTATTATTAATCTCCCTCGGATCTGCTCTCTACTTCTTTCAAGGGAGTTAGCTTCCTCCATTGCCTTCTTGGTTGCGAGAAAGGTTTTATAGAAGAGCAAAAGTGTATGATTTTTCCATTTTTCATAGTTATTTTCCCACCATTAAAATCTAAAACTAAACCGATATGGTTGATGAAATCGCGACCTATTATTCCTTCACGAGGGAAGGTATTCTTAGATCTCACTATTCTACATGGCAAAGTAAATTTGCATCCTCTAAGTTTAAAATTTATTTCTACAATACCAACAGTCTGAATCTGATTTCCACCAACATTTAACTTTGTTTTCATTCCGAATTTTACAGGAGCTTTGCCCTTTAATGTATTTGCAATTTCTTTTGAGATAATAGTAGTTTCTAAACAAGGGTCTACGATCATTTTCGCGGGTATATTATTGATATAAGCCAAGATTACAGGATTAGGTTGCGTTCTCACTTTGCCTATTCTATTCTGTATCTGTTTCTTTCTGCTTAACAGTTCGATAATTGTGGACATTATTTTTTTCAGATTCTCTATAATGTTGTTTCCTTTTTGTATGGAGAGGTTTTCCTCCGACGTTATTTAAAATATTTCTACATTCCGCCGAGGTGGAGGTTGAATACTCTGTATCCTGTTTATAATTTCAATGGGGATCACGCTATCTAATGTCTTCACAGCCTTTTTAATATGCTTATTTCTGCATGCAGTTCCTGTATTTTCTCTGGAGACGAATCTGAAAACGAGGAATATGTGTCCGGCAAGTTTTCTCTAACTACTCTGATTTGACTATGGGATTCAGAAACCACTCTCTCGATATTTCCTTCGCTTATAATTCTAATCATCTTGCTATTATTTTGTCCGGTAGTATGAAATTCTATCGCCTCTTCTTTAGTAGCTATTTGCAGTGCCTCGTCGAAAGTTGCAGGTTCACGAGACATAACTCTTTGCCTAATTTTAATGTCCATCCCATTTAAAAACTGGACTTTTAATCGTTCATCTAGTTCTTTGGCCTTTATGCTCTGGATTATAGCAATTTCGGTATCATTTGCTCCTACCTGATCAATTTCTACCCCGGAAGCCAACGATTGCAACCTGACAGCATATGTCTGAACATCTTCGCCTCTGCTGCATTCATGGGTAAAATTTTTATACTCTGAATGTATATGGGACCTTCTCAAATCTCTCAATCACGATTTTTTAAAATTCATCGTAATTATCAATGTCTTTCATTCTTCTATCTTTATGTGAGCACTCCTTAGCTATACATCTCAGCTTGAGACGGACCACGACAATCATTTGGGCCTTCGTCCATCCAGAGAGCTTAGCTACATCACGTGAAGATTCAAAAAATTCCTTTATCTCTTCATTTGAATTTCCTGAGTAGGAAGGATGGAGGGAAACGAAATTGCCCATTCCACTTAAAGTAGCCCTAGGATTTTCCTCTGCCATTTTTTAAACTTATGTTTACTCATTATAAACTTAAAATTACTTGTATGAGGAACTATGGCACTTAGTTAAACGAAGACATGCTCTCCTTCGTAAACAGATTGTCCTTCTTAGGCGGGTTTTTGTGCCAGAATATTCTGTAAATTAAATAAATATCAATATTTTAGAACATTTCGATTTAAAAATGGCTACGAATGTTTTGATGCTACTTTTTATAATTCTTTAATTGTGTTATATCATTAAATTATCGAATCAATTTTCAAATTTTATACTTTAAATTAAATTTTTTATCAATAATTATGCACATTTTATTTCAGAATTACATCTAAAGTCTCCTATGGTGGTTGCGTCTCGATAGCTATAAGGGTGTGGAGGATTATGGGCTTGAATGTGGTTGAAAGTGGAAGATTTTCTATTTCGATTTTGAAAATTTTCGAATTCGAATTCGGATTGGTTCGATTATAGAACGATTGTAAACGTTCCAGAACATTGATCAAATTGAAAATAGTTCGTTTGACTAAACGTAAAAATTCTCTAATTAGTCTGTAAACGGGAGACCTAATTCTTGCATTTTGTGAAAACGGGTAAGATTGGCTATAATATAATTATCTTAATCTTCACTATTGCCCACAAATAAAAACCCAGCGAAGCGGGTCCTTGAGCTAATAAGATATAATTTCAATGAAATATAGTTACAATTTATAGCGAGTAGCGATTTTATATTGAAAGAAAAAGTTCTTTTGAAAAATCTTCTGTGATTATATAACATTATTATTATTAATGGACAATAAGCTTTATAATAGAATTTCGGAATTAATTTTATAAATGCAATAAAAGTCATTGTATTTCATATTTAATTATTTTCAAAAATGTCTTTCCATAAATTCATGACGTCGCTGTCTTTTGTTCGTTCCAGGATTTTTTCATTTAACAATCGTATTTGTTCTTCGTTAAAGTGATTTTTCCAATCGCCAACAATTCCTTTTCTAACCAGAGTCCCGCTTTTTGTATCTTTTCCTGTTTTATTTAAATTTTGTACAATTTTCACAATCCCTGAAGGTATATTTTTGTTTTGTAGCCACGTTTTGTCTTTTTGAAAAAACACATCTACGTACTTCTTGCCGCTCTTTTTCATATAATCGAAACTGCTGTAATGAATAATATTTTCTAATATTGTTGGATCATTCAAAATACTTTTCTCGTATTCTTCCCCCATAAATTTGGCTATTTTCAATATTTCTCCCTTGATATCTTTCTTCAGGTTTTCGTATGTTACAAAATGAACGTTGTTGTCATTTTTATGTTCGTACCACCCGAGAAGGTGATCGAAATAATCGCCTTCTCCTAAATTACCTTGGAGAAATGCCTCAAAAAATTCTTGAAAACTTAATTCTTTCTGGGGAAATGGAAGTAATTTCATGAAATGATAATAAGAAACGCAGCAATCTCTAGGGTTTCTGGTAGTGTAAATGTATTTAGATTCTGGAGAAAAAGGAATAGCAAAAAATGGTAAATGTGTTTTCATGGCTTTCGGTTTAGCCATTTCTATGTATTTTCCTCCCACACCTTCTATAAACGGACAATCTAACAGAAAATCTAACGGATCCTCGGATGGTTGACCTTTACGAAGGATTAACGTGACTATGTCATTCATCCAAGTTGTTCCACATTTAGGATAACTAACGAGAAATAAATCTCCAGGTTTCGCTTTATAATTCATTCCAGATAAAAACGATTCTTGCGAATAATATAGCGGCATAGGCACTCCATTCACTTCCTTATACATTTTTATCTTCTCCATTACTATAAGTTAGATTTTAGTTATAGCATATTATATGAAACAAGTATTAACATTGAGTAATTATTTAGTACATTTAATGTGACGTATTGTACTTACTGCTTTCTCACACGCCAGTTATATCCAACGTTAACAAATAGAAAGTTTAACTGAGTATTAATTAAACATTAGAAATTGTCGTCATTAACGAAGTTTAGAATTCAACGTATGATTAGATAATGTGCATGCTCATCATTGGTCGAAAGTTATCTAATAAAATTGATAAACGAATTTTATTACGTAGCACATAACCTTTAGCCTTCTTATGGATTCGTTTATCGTGTTTATACATATATTTGTATGCAGTATCTTATCTTATAATATAGTAGATTGTGAAATCTAGATCGACATCAGGTTGTTAACACCAGTTAAAATATTATTTCGCGGTTTAAATCGCGATACTTCTATTATTTCGATTAGGAAGGCTCGTTTCAGTGGGGAAAGACGTGAGTGAAGGATAGGAGTCCGTGAGTAAACTAGAATCAAGTCTGATTAACAAATTAACAAATATTGTAATGAAAAACAAAGAATACAATTGAACAAACTAAATAATATCTGGCTATGATTAAACATGAATAATTAAACTTTAAACTAGGTCCCTAAAGATCGAGAGAGAGTTTACAAACGATATTATATTATATTACCTCTGTGATAACTTGACTTATGCTTCATAATCTTGGGCGGAACTTACTTGTATGAGTAACTATGGCACTTAAACAAAGACATGCTGAGGTGCTGAATAGCTTAAATGCTGAAGTGCATCGATTTTAGCGCGTATCTTTATTTCAAACTGATTTTCTCCTTCAATGGAGATCGAGCCTAAGGATTATCTGACAATGATCTAAACGCAAACTTCAAAAAAGTAGTTAGTCATCTGTTGACTAACTACTTTTTTGAAGGAAGTAAACTTGTTGAAAAGGAAGCGAACTTTCTTTTTTTCTCTCGCATTTTCTGTTAATTTCTGTGGCTAATTTTTTTTCTAATTTATAAAATAACTAGCTGTTACCCGCGACTTCGTCCGCGGAGGATTTGCAAGCAAACCCCATTTACATTCAATATTTCAATAACCATAGTAATTGTTAGGTCTATATATCACCTACCATGAATCAGTGAGTGAGTGAGTGAGTGAGTGAGTCAGCCAGGTCAAGCAATTTTATATATTTAGATATGATTTATTTTTATAATTAGTATTAAAATAATAAAAATCCATGTGAATCATCACAATGGTCTTAACTTCAAATGAATGTGCATAATAATAGTGTTGCTTAATAAGTATTTCATAATTAACTTTTTTGATACTTTCTAATTTTTAATGTTAATGTAATTAAACATAAAAAAATATTTAAAACTAAAAAAAACGAAAGAAATTGTGAGATCCGAATAGTTTCTGGGTCTGAATAAATTTAAATATAAAGTTACAATTTTGAAGAAAAATATTCTTTTATATTGGGTGTGAAAATATCGTTTTTCTAACGTGGAAAAGCTGATAAAAGAGTCACTTCCTTTAACGGAAGTAGACACATCCTTTTGCTTTCTAGTTATCTATCATAAATCTCACCACCCTGGGAATTGTCGACCCCTCAATAATTTCCTTTTCCTCCGGTCACGTGAGAAAATACAAATATGCTGATTAGTCACAAATCATGAGATATAGTCAAAGATCTACATGAATCGGGAGTACGTCAGAAGATCTCATAGAGGTGAGACGTAGTCCATAGTTGCTCCATAAGGCAACGCCCTTAGTCCTCCTCCAAACTAAGTCAAATAATAAGGTAAGTTAGGAAGAATAGAAGAAACTTTTAATATTGTGCAAATCAAGACGTCTCCACGAAAAGAAGTATTGGGACTAAAGAAACGAAATATGATCATAGAATACGGATGAAGATAAAGACAAAGTAAACCTTGAGGTAGTATGATTATCAATGAATTTGTGAGCTCTCTCTCTCTCTCTAAGCGTATATTTTAATTGAATTCATATTCTCTCTCAATCGCTCATTTTAATTATTGGATTATATCCATTTTGTATACTTTTGTTTATTCTAGTTTATAAAATTCTTTTAATTATTTGTTAGAAAAATGTCTCTTATTCAATATCTGAATCAAATCCACATTATCTCCATACGCGTGTTAATTCGCGTACTGTAAATTTATTGACTGGTGTCGGGAACGAAGAATTGTGAAATCCTTTAGTTCCGCTCTAGATATATCCAAACTGTAAGTCCCTCCGCCCTCGATTTTCCTTGAATTAGGAAAAGCCATTCTTGTAGACGACCCGAGAACTAGTTTCACCAACTAGCCGCCGAATAAGTGGTACCAACAATCCTAGAGGAAAAGTACCCCCGGCTAGAATCTTACAAAATGCGTTAATTTTGAAGAAAAACCTTTAAAACCTTCTCATCTTTCTGCGAAATTTGACACCGATGAGTCATTGTGTTTACAGCTGGATGACATTGAGAACAGCTGATGTTGGATTTCTCGGGACATTCTCATAGAAGTCTCGGGAGGAGAAGGGTATATAGTAGGGTGAATACTAGCTAGCCGTATATTTTTAAATGTTTTTAAAAAATTAAAATTATTATCAAGTTATTATTTATGCTTTCAAATATTAAAACTGCAAATAAAGATAACACGATCACTTTTCAAGACTAAAATTGTGGATAAATGTAAACATAAGATGAATAAATACAATCATTTACTTGATAATAACAAAAAGAATATTNTTCAAGTATAATCACTTCAAAATTGAAGCTATGTAAAAAATTACTCTGTTTAAGATCTATTACACAGAAGTAACAGTTAAAACGGCTTGAAGAAAAAACTTCATTAATTTAATCTAAAATGACAAACGATTATAGATAATAAAATCCACACAAAGTTAAAATTGATATCAAACGTCTGCCTTTTTTAGAGGATCTGACGTTTTTTACATTAAAAACAAAGGTTACATTTTTAAACTAAGCTATTATGTCGTTAGCCTATTTATAGGTATTTATAACGTTATTCGTCATTTTAATGAAGTTTTTACTTCAAGTTGTTTTAACTGTTACTTATGTGTTTGTAAAGGATGAAAAAAAAGACTCGAAAATATTTTAGTAAATGGTGTGAGATAAACGGGGCTCACGGGTGAATTCAAATGACTACTTACTCCGCACAAGATCTTGCGATTCGAGCCCCTCGTCAATAAGTGTTAAAAATGATCTAATCGAGATCCACGTGAGGTTGTTGACACCAGTTAAACTATTATTTCGCGATTTAACTCGCAATTTTTCTATTATCTCGATTAGGAGGGCTCGTTTCAGTGGGGAGACACGTGAGTAAGTGATTGGAGTCCGTGAGGAAACTAGAATCAAGTCCCATTGACAAATTAACAAATATTGTAATGAAAAACAAAGAATACAATTGAACAAACTAAATAACATCTGGCTATGATTAAACATGAATAATTAAACCTTAAACTAGGTCCCAAAAGATTGAGAGAGAGACAGTTCACAAACGATATTATATTATATTACCTCTGTGATAACTTATGCTTCATAATCTTGGGCGGAACTTACTTGTATGAGGAACTATGGCACTTAGTTAAACAAAGACATGCTGAGGCGCTGAAGTGCATCGATTTTAGCGCGTATCTTTATTTCAAACTGATTTTCTCCTTCAATGGAGATCGAGCCTAAGGATCATCTGACAATGATCTAAACGTGTAGTCATCGGTTGACTAACTACTTTTTGAAGGAAGTAAACTTGTTGGAAAGGAAGCGGACTTCCTTTCTTTCTCTCCCTTTTCCTGTTAATTTCTGTGGCTAATTTTCTTTCTAATTTATAAAATAATATGACTTCTTTTTATAATTAGTATTAAAATAATAAAAATCCATGTGAATCCTCACATAGCTTCCTTCTTTTTTAAAAATCACACTAATTTAAAAAGGCGTGATTTTTTTCTAAATGGAGATGGAGGTAATTTGTGTACATTAGGGGGTTTTTCCTACACTCTCTCTAAAAATTACATTAATAAAATTTTACCATAAGTAAAATAAATTTGTTACAATTCATAGTGTGGTTAACCTATTGCGTTACATTGATAATATTTCATATAATGATTACACATCACATATTTAGGAATTACTTAAAACTATACAAAGATAAGCGATTATAACAAAATGATTTGGATTAACAATCAAATTATATACGCGTACAGGAGTTCGAATATATTTTCTCCTCAAATCTACAAAGTTCTATCAGCTCTGGAAATTTATCTCGGGAAGCTGTCCTGTCCTAGTTGCTGACACTGGAACGATTCCTTAGGCAGTTGTTCTGTTGATTGCTTCTTTCCTTTAATGATGTCGATATATAAGCGTTGATATGAAAGTTTCTTCTCTTTCGTTCGTCTGTTAGCAGAGATAGTTGTGGATTTCTTGTGAAGAAATCTTCTCTGGAAAAAAGTTCTGTTGTGTATTTCAACCTGTAGGACTTCTGATGATTAAACTGTTGGGTATTTCTTAGAGTTTACAAATCGTCGAATTGCAGCATTCAAAATGGTTGGTACAATCGTAAATATTTCTCTAATGTAGGAGGTAATTTATTTCACAAATACTCTCTCTCGTAAAACTAACTTAAAACTATCTATTCTTTTATAAAATTATATGTGACTATATTATTCTACTTCCACAATAGGAAATAACAAAATATATATTTTAAAATTAAGTAGGAAGCTATTTGTATAGTAAAATTTATCTTTTACTCGATCTTACTCTATCTGATAAATGGATAGGAATGAGTCAAACTTCCGTGTTTTTGTTAATTAAAGAGATAACTCTTAAACTAAAATATTACTTTAAATTCTAAGGTGTTTTAATATTATTCCAGCTTGAGATCATATAATATGTTATTCGAAGATCGATTTAAATCTCGTATTATCTAAAAAAATAAAGCATTTCCTTTAAAATCCCGTCTTGAAAATTGTCTTTACTTGCTACATCAAGCATATTTGAATCATATTGCTCTTCACTCAGCTTCTGAGGTTGTGGAATTAATTCTTTTACCTCTCTCTCGGGTGAACTTGTCTTTTTCGGGGAATTTCTTTCCTTTGGGGAACGTCTTTTTCTTCGTATGGGCTTGACATGGTCCTCGTGGACATTAGACCTAGAGGTTTGTCTAACAATTTTAATTATATTTGCTTTCTGAGATTTGTGTTCCTCTGTATTATTAATCTCCCTCGGAATTCTGCTCTCTACTTCTTTCAAGGGAGTTAGCTTCCTCCATTGCCTTCTTGGTTGCGAGAAAGGTTTTATAGAAGAGCAAAAGTGTATGATTTTTCCATTTTTCATAGTTATTTTCCCACCATTAAAATCTAAAACTAAACCGATATGGTTGATGAAATCGCGACCTATTATTCCTTCACGAGGGAAGGTATTCTTAGATCTCACTATTCTACATGGCAAAGTAAATTTGCATCCTCTAAGTTTAAAATTTATTTCTACAATACCAACAGTCTGAATCTGATTTCCACCAACATTTAACTTTGTTTTCATTCCGAATTTTACAGGAGCTTTGCCCTTTAATGTATTTGCAATTTCTTTTGAGATAATAGTAGTTTCTAAACAAGGGTCTACGATCATTTTCGCGGGTATATTATTGATATAAGCCAAGATTACAGGATTAGGTTGCGTTCTCACTTTGCCTATTCTATTCTGTATCTGTTTCTTTCTGCTTAACAGTTCGATAATTGTGGACATTATTTTTTTCAGATTCTCTATAATGTTGTTTCCTTTTTGTATGGAGAGGTTTTCCTCCGACGTTATTTAAAATATTTCTACATTCCGCCGAGGTGGAGGTTAAATACTCTATATCCTGTTTATAATTTCCATGAGGATCATCGCTATCTAATGTCTTCACAGCCTTTTTAATATGCTTATTTCTGCATGCAGTTCCTGTATTTTCTCTGGAGACGAATCTGGAAACGAGGAATATGTGTCCGGCAAGTTTTCTCTAACTACTCTGATTTGACTATGGGATTCAGAAACCACTCTCTCGATATTTCCTTCGCTTATAATTCTAATCATCTTGCTATTATTTTGTCCGGTAGTATGAAATTCTATCGCCTCTTCTTTAGTAGCTATTTGCAGTGCCTCGTCGAAAGTTGCAGGTTCACGAGACATAACTCTTTGCCTAATTTTAATGTCCATCCCATTTAAAAACTGGACTTTTAATCGTTCATCTAGTTCTTTGGCCTTTATGCTCTGGATTATAGCAATTTCGGTATCATTTGCTCCTACCTGATCAATTTCTACCCCGGAAGCCAACGATTGCAACCTGACAGCATATGTCTGAACATCTTCGCCTCTGCTGCATTCATGGGTAAAATTTTTATACTCTGAATGTATATGGGACCTTCTCAAATCTCTCAATCACGATTTTTTAAAATTCATCGTAATTATCAATGTCTTTCATTCTTCTATCTTTATGTGAGCACTCCTTAGCTATACATCTCAGCTTGAGACGGACCACGACAATCATTTGGGCCTTCGTCCATCCAGAGAGCTTAGCTACATCACGTGAAGATTCAAAAAATTCCTTTATCTCTTCATTTGAATTTCCTGAGTAGGAAGGATGGAGGGAAACGAAATTGCCCATTCCACTTAAAGTAGCCCTAGGATTTTCCTCTGCCATTTTTTAAACTTATGTTTACTCATTATAAACTTAAAATTACTTGTATGAGGAACTATGGCACTTAGTTAAACGAAGACATGCTCTCCTTCGTAAACAGATTGTCCTTCTTAGGCGGGTTTTTGTGCCAGAATATTCTGTAAATTAAATAAATATCAATATTTTAGAACATTTCGATTTAAAAATGGCTACGAATGTTTTAATTCTACTTTTTATAATTCTTTAATTGTGTTATATCATTAAATCATCGAATCAAATAAATTTTCAATTTTTATACTTTTAATTAAATTTTTATCAATAATTATGCACATTTTATTTCAGAATTACATCTAAAGTCTCCTATGGTGGTTGCATCTCGATAGCTATAAGGGTGCGGGAGATATGGGGCTGAAAGTGGTTGAAAGTGGAAGATTTTCTATTTCGATTTTAAATATTTTCGAATTCGAATTCGAATTGGTTCGATTATAGAACGATTGTAAACGTTCCAGAAAATTGATCAAATTGAAAATAGTTCGTTTGACTAAACGTAAAAATTCTCTAATTAGTCTGTAAACGGGAGACCTAATTCTTGCATTCTGTGAAAACGGATAAGATTGGCTATAATATAATTATCTTAATCTTCACTATCGTTACTTTTGCCCACAAATAAAAACCCAGCGAAGCGGGTCCTTGAGCTAATAAGATATAATTTCAATGAAATATAGTTACAATTTATAGCGAGTAGCGATTTTATATTGAAAGAAAAAGTTCTTTTGAAAAATCTTCTGTGATTATATAACATTATTATTATTAATGGACAATAAGCTTTATAATAGAATTTCGGAATTAATTTTATAAATGCAATAAAAGTCATTGTATTTCATATTTAATTATTTTCAAAAATGTCTTTCCATAAATTCATGACGTCGCTGTCTTTTGTTCGTTCCAGGATTTTTTCATTTAACAATCGTATTTGTTCTTCGTTAAAGTGATTTTTCCAATCGCCAACAATTCCTTTTCTAACCAGAGTCCCGCTTTTTGTATCTTTTCCTGTTTTATTTAAATTTTGTACAATTTTCACAATCCCTGAAGGTATATTTTTGTTTTGTAGCCACGTTTTGTCTTTTTGAAAAAACACATCTACGTACTTCTTGCCGCTCTTTTTCATATAATCGAAACTGCTGTAATGAATAATATTTTCTAATATTGTTGGATCATTCAAAATACTTTTCTCGTATTCTTCCCCCATAAATTTGGCTATTTTCAATATTTCTCCCTTGATATCTTTCTTCAGGTTTTCGTATGTTACAAAATGAACGTTGTTGTCATTTTTATGTTCGTACCACCCGAGAAGGTGATCGAAATAATCGCCTTCTCCTAAATTACCTTGGAGAAATGCCTCAAAAAATTCTTGAAAACTTAATTCTTTCTGGGGAAATGGAAGTAATTTCATGAAATGATAATAAGAAACGCAGCAATCTCTAGGGTTTCTGGTAGTGTAAATGTATTTAGATTCTGGAGAAAAAGGAATAGCAAAAAATGGTAAATGTGTTTTCATGGCTTTCGGTTTAGCCATTTCTATGTATTTTCCTCCCACACCTTCTATAAACGGACAATCTAACAGAAAATCTAACGGATCCTCGGATGGTTGACCTTTACGAAGGATTAACGTGACTATGTCATTCATCCAAGTTGTTCCACATTTAGGATAACTAACGAGAAATAAATCTCCAGGTTTCGCTTTATAATTCATTCCAGATAAAAACGATTCTTGCGAATAATATAGCGGCATAGGCACTCCATTCACTTCCTTATACATTTTTATCTTCTCCATTACTATAAGTTAGATTTTAGTTATAGCATATTATATGAAACAAGTATTAACATTGAGTAATTATTTAGTACATTTAATGTGACGTATTGTACTTACTGCTTTCTCACACGCCAGTTATATCCAACGTTAACAAATAGAAAGTTTAACTGAGTATTAATTAAACATTAGAAATTGTCGTCATTAACGAAGTTTAGAATTCAACGTATGATTAGATAATGTGCATGCTCATCATTGGTCGAAAGTTATCTAATAAAATTGATAAACGAATTTTATTACGTAGCACATAACCTTTAGCCTTCTTATGGATTCGTTTATCGTGTTTATACATATATTTGTATGCAGTATCTTATCTTATAATATAGTAGATTGTGAAATCTAGATCGACATCAGGTTGTTAACACCAGTTAAAATATTATTTCGCGGTTTAAATCGCGATACTTCTATTATTTCGATTAGGAAGGCTCGTTTCAGTGGGGAAAGACGTGAGTGAAGGATAGGAGTCCGTGAGTAAACTAGAATCAAGTCTGATTAACAAATTAACAAATATTGTAATGAAAAACAAAGAATACAATTGAACAAACTAAATAATATCTGGCTATGATTAAACATGAATAATTAAACTTTAAACTAGGTCCCTAAAGATCGAGAGAGAGTTTACAAACGATATTATATTATATTACCTCTGTGATAACTTGACTTATGCTTCATAATCTTGGGCGGAACTTACTTGTATGAGTAACTATGGCACTTAAACAAAGACATGCTGAGGTGCTGAATAGCTTAAATGCTGAAGTGCATCGATTTTAGCGCGTATCTTTATTTCAAACTGATTTTCTCCTTCAATGGAGATCGAGCCTAAGGATTATCTGACAATGATCTAAACGCAAACTTCAAAAAAGTAGTTAGTCATCTGTTGACTAACTACTTTTTTGAAGGAAGTAAACTTGTTGAAAAGGAAGCGAACTTTCTTTTTTTCTCTCGCATTTTCTGTTAATTTCTGTGGCTAATTTTTTTTCTAATTTATAAAATAACTAGCTGTTACCCGCGACTTCGTCCGCGGAGGATTTGCAAGCAAACCCCATTTACATTCAATATTTCAATAACCATAGTAATTGTTAGGTCTATATATCACCTACCATGAATCAGTGAGTGAGTGAGTGAGTGAGTGAGTCAGCCAGGTCAAGCAATTTTATATATTTAGATATGATTTATTTTTATAATTAGTATTAAAATAATAAAAATCCATGTGAATCATCACAATGGTCTTAACTTCAAATGAATGTGCATAATAATAGTGTTGCTTAATAAGTATTTCATAATTAACTTTTTTGATACTTTCTAATTTTTAATGTTAATGTAATTAAACATAAAAAAATATTTAAAACTAAAAAAAACGAAAGAAATTGTGAGATCCGAATAGTTTCTGGGTCTGAATAAATTTAAATATAAAGTTACAATTTTGAAGAAAAATATTCTTTTATATTGGGTGTGAAAATATCGTTTTTCTAACGTGGAAAAGCTGATAAAAGAGTCACTTCCTTTAACGGAAGTAGACACATCCTTTTGCTTTCTAGTTATCTATCATAAATCTCACCACCCTGGGAATTGTCGACCCCTCAATAATTTCCTTTTCCTCCGGTCACGTGAGAAAATACAAATATGCTGATTAGTCACAAATCATGAGATATAGTCAAAGATCTACATGAATCGGGAGTACGTCAGAAGATCTCATAGAGGTGAGACGTAGTCCATAGTTGCTCCATAAGGCAACGCCCTTAGTCCTCCTCCAAACTAAGTCAAATAATAAGGTAAGTTAGGAAGAATAGAAGAAACTTTTAATATTGTGCAAATCAAGACGTCTCCACGAAAAGAAGTATTGGGACTAAAGAAACGAAATATGATCATAGAATACGGATGAAGATAAAGACAAAGTAAACCTTGAGGTAGTATGATTATCAATGAATTTGTGAGCTCTCTCTCTCTCTCTAAGCGTATATTTTAATTGAATTCATATTCTCTCTCAATCGCTCATTTTAATTATTGGATTATATCCATTTTGTATACTTTTGTTTATTCTAGTTTATTAAATTCTTTTAATTATTTGTTAGAAAAATGTCTCTTATTCAATATCTGAATCAAATCCATATTATCTCCATATGCGTGTTAATTCGCGTACTGTAAATTTATTGACTGGTGTCGGGAACCTGACGTAGGAACGAAGAATTGTGAAATCCTTTAGTTCCGCTCTAGATATATCCAAACTGTAAGTCCCTCCGCCCTCGATTTTCCTTGAATTAGGAAAAGCCATTCTTGTAGACGACCCGAGAACTAGTTTCACCAACTAGCCGCCGAATAAGTGGTACCAACAATCCTAGAGGAAAGGTACCCCCGGCTAGAATCTTACAAAATGCGTTAATTTTGAAGAAAAAGCTTCAAACTTTATTTTCCATTGTCTCGCCTTCCTGCGAAATTTGACACCGATAAGTCATTGTGTTTACAGCTGGATGACCTTGAGAACAGCTGATGTTGGATTTCTCGGGACATTCTCATAGAAATCTGGGGAGGAGAAGGGTATATAGTAGGGTGAATACTAGCTAGCCGTATATTTTTAAATGTTTTTAAAAAATTAAAATTTTTATTGAGATTTCCGACCCCCGACCATCAAGTCGTTGTCGACTCCTGGTTACTTCATGGACAAGTCTTAACCATCTTGATCTTTCCCTTGTTGTATATATAATAAAATATATTAATTTAAAAAATTACAAATCTATTGGTGGTCGTTTTTGACATCAGAAACTAGCTTTAAATAACTTTACCAAAGAAAAATCCCTGCACTACAACTTTAGAAGAATAAATGAAATTTGATTAAAAAATCCCATTAAAAAACAATTAAGCGTTAATTGCGCGTCATTAAAGGTAGATTAAAATCGCGATAAAATTTTTTCGCGTGGGAAAAAATTTTTGAAAAAATTTAGAGACAAAAAACATCCAAAAATGCAAAAAAATTGTTCGGGGGTCCAAAAACCCGTTATTAATTAAACTTTATAAAAATAATTAAATTTAGTTTATTGATTAATTCTCTCATATAAGAACTTTCTTATTATCTTTCGCAAACACTTTTGAAGATTAATTTTATATATAGTTTGAGAGAAATGCTTTCTTTTATCTTGAAATACAGTAGACCCTCCGTATAACACGGTAGAAACGTTTCGTGTTTTATGAATTCCATGTTGTACGAGTCACTTAAATGCATGAGACAATCATAGCCCGGCAGTATGCAGTTTAGGGACTAGGGAACTAATTAATACATTCTAGATTAATTTGACTCAACATTTTTAAAACTCGTGTAATTTTTTGAAAATAATCCATATGAACTATGCTATAAACAAAAAATTGTAGAATTACTTACCGAGCTTGCACCGTTCGACGACGCCATCGCTTAAGCTTGTTTTCTTAGCGGAGCGGCGCATCGAATGGTAAGCGCGTGATTCCCGATAAGTTATTTTTCTGCAAAACATTGTGCAGTCGTGATTTGTTCAATGTTCGTCAAAAAACAGAGTTGATTCTATTTTATTTCAAATCTGCGACGTGTTTTTTTAATCTTGTTTCTAATTTTCGTTTTGTTTCTCCAATGTATACTTTTGGCGGTTCGCGTGTGCAAGATATTTTATAAACGACTTCGGTAGTGTTGTATTTGTCTGGTTGTTTATTTATCCCAGGTTTAGTTTTCCGGATTTTTTTTTGCAAGTTGTTGTAAGTTGAGGCTAGTTTTATATTTATTTTATCGAAACTTTTATTTACCTGTTCAAAGAAGCCACGGATGTAGGGGAAGGATATGTATTTTAATCTATTTTTATCTTTGTTTCGTTTATTTTCCAGCCTTTTATTGTTGATTTCACTTTCCCAGTTATTTATTATTCGTGTTGGATAGCCGTTTAATAGAAATTTAGTTGGCAGTTCGTTGAGATGTTTTTCTTCTTCTGTAGTGAGCTTGTTCCGCTCTCGATTTTTTTATACTCCGTGATGAATATGTTTTTTTTATGTACTGTGGAATGTCTGAATTGTAGTTTAACACTTTCTTAATCTCGCATGGTTTTGTGTATGGCACGAATTCAATCTTGTTTGCTTTATGCGAATTTAATATTATCGTTTAATTTCTTTATTTTTTCTTCTATCTTTTCTAATTTTATTATTGCTTGGTCATATAGTATAATTATGTCATCCACATATCGTTTATAGAACATTATGCTTCGTTATTTTTTTCATTGCTTGATCTGTATCTACCATAACAAGTTCTGCTAGCTTCGGGCCTATATCCGATTCCACGCTTATGCCTGTTTATTGTGTGTAGAACTTATTGTTGACTTCGAAGTAATTACTCCTGTATACGAATTCTATTAAATCGACTACTTCTTCCTCTGTTTCAATCTTTTTTAGTGTACTTTCTATAAGATTCCAGGTTATCGAAGGGTACGTGTTTACTATATAAAAGCTGGCGAGTCTGTAATTTTTGCTCATTTTTATATTTTCCATGTCACGTATAAGTTCGCCCGCGTGTTTGATGGAGTATTCCATATTTTTATACTTTTGTAATTTTCGTTTTAAGTATTTTTCTAAATTTGATAGAACTGAATTTTTGAAGTTGACAACGGGTCTTATTTGTTCGCCTAGTTTATGTGTTTTTAGTTGTATGTTTAGCTTAGGAGTTCTGCTATTTTCGTTTGCTAATTTCGGTATTTTTATTAGAATGTTACTTATAATGCTAGTAATAAGAAATAATAAATTTCTGTTATATATTTATTATTTATGACATGAAAAACTGAATATTTAAAAAATATTACAATTCAGATTATTCCTTTTATCGATATATATTACCTGTCGACCCCCCTATAACACTTTTGATTATTCTGTTTTATATGAATTCCATGTTGTACAAGTCACTTAGGTTTTACAAACCCACACAGCCCGGCACACGTATTTGTATAATCTAAGTGACTCGTACAACACGGAATTCATATAAAACGGAGTTATCAACAGTGTTATAGCGGGTCTAATGTATAAGGTATAATATTACCTATTCAAAACTCTCTTTTTTATTTAAAGTTTAAACTTTAAACATATAAAACAAATAAAAAGTTAATATTCAAACTGTAAAACCATTAAATTGTAATGCAAAAACACGAGAATTTCACCATTTTTAGGGAATAACGTATTTCTTGCCGGCTCATAAATGTTACCTCCAGTGCTGAACGTTCTTTCACTTTTAATGGAAGATGCTGGGGTACTTAAATATTTTATAGCTATCTTGATCGAATTAAAAGAAAGTTCTTTTAAATTTCTCCACCACAAAAACACGTCACTATGTCTTTGTTTAAGGAGTAAATGTAAATATATTTTTAATTCTTGATCGAAACGTTTGTTCGTTTCTTTCTTTTTAAAAACACGCTCTTCTTCATTCTTTCGTTTACCAGAAGCTAATTCATCAAATAAATCAGAAAAACTTAGAGATTCACCTTCATCTTGATCATCTCCAGAAGAAGCTTCAGAATTTAATTCTTATTAAGATTTTGAATTATTAACATCTTCTAAGTTATAAATTGCCCATATTTTTATTTCCTCTACCATATCATCTTTTTAAAATTTCATTTTGAATCTTGGATCTAATAAAGATGACAAGCGTAAGGACTTGTTTTCTATATATGCTGAAAATTTTTTAATTTGATTTTTGTAGTTCTTCTATTATGGTATTAATGCCACTAAAGAAAATACTGATGTTTGCTTTTGATAAGAATAATTTCAGAGTCTCTATTGTGGGAATTATTAAAGATGAGATGGTTTCTTGTTTGCTGGCTTCCACAGTAATTTCTTTGAATGGTTTTACAAGTAGAACAATTTTTTCAACGAGTAACCACTGATATAGGCACAACGTAGAAATTTTATTATCTATAGCATATGTGACAAGGGCTTTTTGCTGTTCCAACATGTAGATGTAGGATTCCAGCGAGTAGGAACATCTTGAATTAATTTGTGTTTCTGCAAACCTAACTTTTCTTGCAAATCTTCCAATTTGCTTACAGCTACAGCAGAATGATTAATTAAAATTTGAGACAATATTTCTATTAACTGTGATTATAGTTTTTACATCTTGCTCAGAAAATATGCATACGTTTAGTGTCAGCTGCACTGTATGTATAAAGCACAAAGTTGCAATTCCTAATTCCAGCTACCACATTTGATGTAGAATATCTCCTCGTTACTAAGAATATCTTATCACTTGTCAACTTATATTATTCGAGAACAATTTTTATCTGTTCACTGAATCGTGTAGCTGTGTGGGAACCTTCAAAGGAAACAATTTGCAAAACAGCTCTTCCCTGCTGAAAATCATCCTTCAACCATTGGGCTCTTACATTTAAAAAAACAATGAATTGTTTGTAGTTGCTGTTCAAATATCAGCGGTTAAAGAAATATATTTTGTTTCTGTTAAACACAGAAACACTTCAGCTTTTTAAACAATGTCGATGTTTCCGTGCGTCAAGAATTAAGTGTTGAGATTTATTTTAGAAACTTTCCCAAACAAAGAAAAAGATTGTTGATTATGCAAGGATATTCGATCGTCTCTTGTTTACCTGACTCGAAGGAGACAAAAGTAGCAGGTGGAGAAAAATAAGTTCTTCCACATTATAATTAACTGTATAATTATCCAGGATCTCACACTATTAACGCAATAAATTATTAGTACTAATCGACCAATAATGCATGGCCGATTAATCGGCAATCGGCCATTTTGCTTATCGGTGCATCCTTACTTATTACTACGAACTGTGTTATGAACATTATTTTATTTTGTTGAAATTAATATTTATGATTCTAATGATTTTTCNACCCAGCGAAGCGGGTCCTTGAGCTAATAAGATATAATTTCAATGAAATATAGTTACAATTTATAGCGAGTAGCGATTTTATATTGAAAGAAAAAGTTCTTTTGAAAAATCTTCTGTGATTATATAACATTATTATTATTAATGGACAATAAGCTTTATAATAGAATTTCGGAATTAATTTTATAAATGCAATAAAAGTCATTGTATTTCATATTTAATTATTTTCAAAAATGTCTTTCCATAAATTCATGACGTCGCTGTCTTTTGTTCGTTCCAGGATTTTTTCATTTAACAATCGTATTTGTTCTTCGTTAAAGTGATTTTTCCAATCGCCAACAATTCCTTTTCTAACCAGAGTCCCGCTTTTTGTATCTTTTCCTGTTTTATTTAAATTTTGTACAATTTTCACAATCCCTGAAGGTATATTTTTGTTTTGTAGCCACGTTTTGTCTTTTTGAAAAAACACATCTACGTACTTCTTGCCGCTCTTTTTCATATAATCGAAACTGCTGTAATAAATAATATTTTCCAATATGGTTGGATCATTCAAAATACTTTTCTCGTATTCTTCCCCCATAAATTTAGCTATTTTCAATATTTCTCCCTTGATATCTTTCTTCAGGTTTTCGTATGTTACAAAATGAACGTTGTTGTCATTTTTATGTTCGTACCACCCGAGAAGGTGATCGAAATAATCGCCTTCTCCTAAATTACCTTGGAGAAATGCCTCAAAAAATTCTTGAAAACTTAATTCTTTCTGGGGAAATGGAAGTAATTTCATGAAATGATAATAAGAAACGCAGCAATCTCTAGGGTTTCTGGTAGTGTAAATGTATTTAGATTCTGGAGAAAAAGGAATAGCAAAAAATGGTAAATGTGTTTTCATGGCTTTCGGTTTAGCCATTTCTATGTATTTTCCTCCCACACCTTCTATAAACGGACAATCTAACAGAAAATCTAACGGATCCTCGGATGGTTGACCTTTACGAAGGATTAACGTGACTATGTCATTCATCCAAGTTGTTCCACATTTAGGATAACTAACGAGAAATAAATCTCCAGGTTTCGCTTTATAATTCATTCCAGATAAAAACGATTCTTGCGAATAATATAGCGGCATAGGCACTCCATTCACTTCCTTGTACATTTTTATCTTCTCCATTACTATAAGTTAGATTTTAGTTATAGCATATTATATGAAACAAGTATTAACATTGAGTAATTATTTAGTACATTTAATGTGACGTATCGTACTTACTGCTTTCTCACACGCCAGTTATATCCAACGTTAACAAATAGAAAGTTTAACTGAGTATTAATTAAACATTAGAAATTGTCGTCATTAACGAAGTTTAGAATTCAACGTATGATTAGATAATGTGCATGCTCATCATTGGTCGAAAGTTATCTAATAAAATTGATAAACGAATTTGATTACGTAGCACATAACCTTTAGCCTTCTTATGGATTCGTTTATCGTGTTTATACATATATTTGTATGCAGTATCTTATAATATAATATAGTAGATTGTGAAATCTAGATCGACATCAGGTTGTTAACACCAGTTAAAATATTATTTCGCGGTTTAAATCGCGATACTTCTATTATTTCGATTAGGAAGGCTCGTTTCAGTGGGGAAAGACGTGAGTGAAGGATAGGAGTCCGTGAGTAAACTAGAATCAAGTCTGATTAACAAATTAACAAATATTGTAATGAAAAACAAAGAATACAATTGAACAAACTAAATAATATCTGGCTATGATTAAACATGAATAATTAAACTTTAAACTAGGTCCCTAAAGATCGAGAGAGACTTTACAAACGATATTATATTATATTACCTCTGTGATAACTTGACTTATGCTTCATAATCTTGGGCGGAACTTACTTGTATGAGTAACTATGGCACTTAAACAAAGACATGCTGAGGTGCTGAACAGCTTAAATGCTGAAGTGCATCGATTTTAGCGCGTATCTTTATTTCAAACTGATTTTCTCCTTCAATGGAGATCGAGCCTAAGGATTATCTGACAATGATCTAAACGCAAACTTCAAAAAAGTAGTTAGTCATCTGTTGACTAACTACTTTTTTGAAGGAAGTAAACTTGTTGAAAAGGAAGCGAACTTTCTTTTTTTCTCTTGCATTTTCTGTTAATTTCTGTGGCTAATTTTATTTTCTAATTTATAAAATAACTAGCTGTTACCCGCGACTTCGTCCGCGGAGGATTTGCAAGCAAACCCCATTTACATTCAATATTTCAATAACCATAGTAATTGTTAGGTCTATATATCACCTACCATGAATCAGTGAGTGAGTGAGTGAGTGAGTGAGTCAGCCAGGACAAGCAATTTTATATATTTAGATATGATTTATTTTTATAATTAGTATTAAAATAATAAAAATCCATGTGAATCATCACAATGGTATTAACTTCAAATGAATGTGCATAATAATAGTGTTGCTTAATAAGTATTTCATAATTAACTTTTTTGATACTTTCTAATTTTTAATGTTAATGTAATTAAACATAAAAAAATATTTAAAACTAAAAAAAACGAAAGAAATTGTGAGATCCGAATAGTTTCTGGGTCTGAATAAATTTAAATATAAAGTTACAATTTTGAAGAAAAATATTCTTTTATATTGGGTGTGAAAATATCGTTTTTCTAACGTGGAAAAGCTGATAAAAGAGTCACTTCCTTTAACGGAAGTAGACACATCCTTTTGCTTTCTAGTTATCTATCATAAATCTCACCACCCTGGGAATTGTCGACCCCTCAATAATTTCCTTTTCCTCCGGTCACGTGAGAAAATACAAATATGCTGATTAGTCACAAATCATGAGATATAGTCAAAGATCTACATGAATCGGGAGTACGTCAGAAGATCTCATAGAGGTGAGACGTAGTCCATAGTTGCTCCATAAGGCAACGCCCTTAGTCCTCCTCCAAACTAAGTCAAATAATAAGGTAAGTTAGGAAGAATAGAAGAAACTTTTAATATTGTGCAAATCAAGACGTCTCCACGAAAAGAAGTATTGGGACTAAAGAAACGAAATATGATCATAGAATACGGATGAAGATAAAGACAAAGTAAACCTTGAGGTAGTATGATTATCAATGAATTTGTGAGCTCTCTCTCTCTCTCTAAGCGTATATTTTAATTGAATTCATATTCTCTCTCAATCGCTCATTTTAATTATTGGATTATATCCATTTTGTATACTTTTGTTTATTCTAGTTTATAAAATTNTAATCTTTCAAACTTTTACAACAAACAAAAACTTATTTTTAAATACTAACCTTCTCGGATTTATTCTGACTCCAATAATTCTGCCGCCTTTTTCACCAAAACTTCCACCCCACGATTCCTCTTCTCCGCTATGAAAAGTTATGTCGATGTTCACATGATTGAATATATAATATGTATCTTTATCGACGTATGAAGACTGAAACATATTTAGTATTTATCAGATTAAGAAATAGATATATACTATTTTCCATTAATGGCAAATTAGGTTAAACCTACATATAAAAGACACGCATCTTTAGGCGTTCCTACTGAATTGACGTAGCAACCCATGGGAAAACCCGCAGAACAAAACTTTTGTCCTCCTTCTACCAGATAGCACCAAGTTATGGGCATATTATCCATTATCCTATACAAAGATAATTTTAAAACAAAAAGATCAATAAGAAAAATACTGATTTTAGAATAATATACTGTTATACATACATAATATGAAAATTTATTGTAAGTAACAAAAAAACTGTGTGCCATTTTAAACATTTTATTGATACTTTTATATCATTTCCTTGTATATAAATTTTAAAAGACAAATACATTGAAATATAGAAAATTAATTAAGAATTTATATGTTTAAAATTTTACCTCTAAATAAATTAAAAAAACTATTATTTATTCACATTTATTATTGTTTATCAATACTTTGAAATGGTGCAAGAGTTTCCAAGTGATGGCATATTTCCAACTAATTATAATTATTACATTTTGTTTTTTAATTTGGTTATCAATTAAAAATAAATACAAACAGAAGAGTTCAAATTATAATTAAATAAATAAATTGCAATTTATTTTACAGATATTATTTAAAATTTAATTTTTGTTACAAATCATTGCAGTTATACAAGAAATTTCATATTCTCTAAATACAGATATTGAAAAACAAAATTTTAAAAATATATCTTATGTAGACTTCAATCAGTAATGAATAATTATAACATTATACTTAATCATAGATTACAATTATAAAATTAAATTACATCAATCAAATTTTTACTTTATTGGCAGGCACTGACTCAACAGGTGAGGCAACCTCCTCAAGTGGTCAAAAACATTCAAAAGAAGAAATGAATAACTAACAGTAATAATACAAAGCCACAAAAAACCAAATAATCAGCAAAAAATTGGGAAGTGCTAATGTTTTCGCCCATGTTGAAAGGGCATCCTTGGGCTTACTAATCTCACAGCTGTCGAAACAATGGGTGATTGCTGTATATGTGTAAAAAGAGGGGTGACCTAAGAAGGAGAGAGGAGAGTAAGTTTACAGTTCAAAGAAAGAACTTCCACACTGTGGGGAAAAAGTCTACATCACAAAAGTTAATAGTGGTATTTTTGCAAGCAGCCATATAAATTTCAACTTGCTCTAGATGTTTGAGAAAGGGTTGCTGGAAAAAGCTACATATGAGGCATACACGGGCAAAATCTATACCAATGTCAGGGTATGAGGCAAAGATAGCTCAGTGTTGGCCAATCCTTTCAAGATGGAATTTGGTGTTCTTTGGGGCAGATGTTAAACAGGTGCATTGTAGCACCTATGTATTCAAAACTGCAGTTGGATCTATGATCAGTAACAGAGATAATGTAGATGCCTGGTTGAAGATATATCATGGGACAGTCTTTAGCATTGCAGAGGAGAGTAAAAATTGAGGGAAGGCTAAACAAAAATTATTGTTCATGGATATTTCTTTCTACAGGATGGCTAGTCTTCTGTTATATGTGATGGTCTTGTAAACTGTGTCCTGGGTGTGAAAGTTTGGCCTGACAGAAGTGGTGGAGTAAAGACAACATATAAGGCCTTTAATGGTGTGTGGAGAGTAGCCATGCAGAGTTGCATGTCAGGTGATGCATAATTGCTCAACATGCAACTCTGGCAATAAATAATTTGAAGTAGTAAAAAAAATTTAAACTAGTGAAATAAATGGAGATATTTAAATTTTCAAGAGTGACCCTACAACTACACCTTTACTGTTCTCGTTGTGTTTGTACACAGTCATTCACTTTGAGAAAAACATATAAATTACATCATCACACATGCATCACCAATAGTGGAAATCAACCAATTGGCAATGAGGATCATTTCTTCCCATTTTGATCATGTGATATTAGCACCACATGGAGTCACAACAAGTAACCTTAAGTGGAGTTTCATCTATTATTTTTATAAATATAATTTCCTTAACATGGAGAATAAAAATCAAAGTTGCAAAACTTCTACAGCACAATACCAAATAATGGTATACTTCACGAGCACATGCAAGAAACTTTTTACAGATAAATTATTCATATATATTAATAAACACATATATATGAATTTTTATATATATATATACATATATATATATATATTTCTTAATTATACAGACATTATATTTGCTATAGATGATATTAAACACTATAGTTTAAAATGAAAGTAAAATCTTGCCCATGTTTCAATAAAATAGGAATTTAAGTATATATTCATTAGTCATCTCAGAGGTAGCTTATACCAAACTTTCAGTAAACATGCATTGTCAATGAAAGTGTTGTTTGTGACAAAAATGCCACAAGGTTCAGCATCACATTTCCTGTTGATTGTCAAATGACATCACAATATAGTCATTTTGCTTAACAATACGGCTCAGTATTAGCAACGCCACCTAGATAATCAGGCCTGTGCTCTCGAAAGTAGAGCTTACAAGAGTAGTCATAACAACTCGATACCGGCAGGGAAGCACGGGGGTTCAACTTACTTGTTAGATTATTTCCTCCTGTTTATTATTTAGAGTTATCGTAACGTTGTGTAATAACAAAAAGTACAGTTTAATTTTTCTTTGAGATTTTAAATTTTAAAAGTATTATTAAATAATAAGTGTATTAAATATACGAACTATAGACAAGTAAATTATAAGTTTTTATTTGCACTTCTCATTCTATTATCTACCAAGGTAGAATTTTATACAAAAACTCAATTTACAATTTTTAACATTTTACACTTTTAAATTCTCCCTGGATAAAGACATCAGATGTATGTCGAAAAGCTTCGGCTGATTAATGGATTTGATATAGAATAAAAAGAAGAAATAGATATGGAACTCACAATGTGTTTGTATTTGATATATTTAATAAAAAGAGTACTAAATATTAACCTAGAAATTATTAACATAAAAAATGTCTTATTGCTGTTCAAGAATATAACTGATGTCATTCTTCAAATAATTTTGTATGATATTTTTTAGAATTTTCGTTCACATAACCATAAATCGAGCAGTTACTCAACAGTCACCAACATACAGCCACAGCATTATTTGATAGAATGCTTTTATTTTACTAACTTTAATTGGATTTACTAAAAATCTTTTTCTTCCTAGGTACTGCATCTTTGGTAATGGTCTGATTTTTCTTTCTACAGTAATTATTTAAAAAGATGTTTGTTGAAATCCATACTATTTTCTTACAAATATCTTCAGGAAAATGAAAATTTTCACAACAGGATCCTTCCCAAAGTAATTCACTGGAGACAATTGAATTTAAAGTGAGACATGTAACTAACTCTCTCTGGTTCTGTACTTTGAGAAAATCTGATTCAAATTTTTCACAAATTTTTTTCATAATTAAATATGTAACAACAACAACACTGATGACATGAGACTGAGGAAAGAGGAGTTTACCTCGACTAACATTTGTTATTAAGGAATACAATTCTTCATCTTCCAAAACCTCGCTTAACACCAACATATCTTTACAAAATTCACATTTTAACTTTTTCAGTACGGAATAGCAACAGTACCCTGCAATGTATGTCAAAATAGGCAAATCTTCATTGTAATTTTCAATTTCTGCCAAAGTTACATAAATTTCATTAAATAAGGGAGGTACCACTATGTCCTTGAGAATTTGTGGAGGCTCGGAGAAGACATCTTTTATTTCACTGAAGCTTATTGCACCAAAAACATCTGACTTTAAGTTTAATCTGATCACGGATTGTAAACGAAGTTTCTTCTCAACTTCATACACTTGTCTAATACTGATATTATATTGGCCACCACTTAATTGTCTGTACTGTCCAAACCGATCTTCTAGGAGGTCAGTTTGAAACTTGCCAGGTAAAAAGTATGAACAATTCATCTCACTTAAACAATATTTGGACAAATGTATAAGTGCTTCTGTAGTTTGTGTTAGAGCCAAATGGGTTTCTTTCGTCAATGAGCCTTTTGGATAACTTATATTCATTTTCTTCCATTTTTCTAGCCATTGTAACATTTCTTTAAGATATACAATTTTGATGTCGTCTGCATAATCTGTTATGGGACACATGAAATCATCATTTAACCTATTTCCTTTGCCAGGTGTTTTAACATTAACAATTTTCCACCATTTTACGAAGATGTTGATGTAAACAGCTGTTTCTCTATAGTGGGGAAGCAAATGATTAGGGCCTAGAGTTAGAAGAGACTCTGAAGTGAGATCATTGAAAATTTGCAATACCAGTTTCACGTTTTGTTTTTCAAAAGCATTGGGACGCAAAGCCTTTAATGAAAGACCATGGCAATACTTTGCCAATTTATCATGTTCGAGATCATACATTTTTAATAAAGTATCAAAACAAGCATAATGAATGACATTATCATCTCCCTCAAATGTCGGATAAACCATGGAGGTCTGCTCTCTTTGCTTCAACCAGTTATGCCATATACATTTCATTATATGCACTGGATCAATAACATAGAATAAAGTTCTAGTCATATCTTTAGGGTGTTTATACATAAAAGTAACATCTGGAGGATCAGCAAATAAAGACATGGCTTTTCTATTAATAGCATTATTATCTGAAATGACAGAAACAACTTTAAATCCTATTTCTTCCAGTCCTAGAATAATTTTTCTGATCCACTGATGCAAACAATTACCCGTCACTTTATTGACTCCTAAAATGTGAGCAACATCTTTGAAATTACTTAATATACTAGCTATCATGAAGACTTGAGCTGCATTTGCAGTAACCAATGTATTATTATTTGACATGCCAACCAAATTTCCATTTTTGTAATCAAAATACTCTTTTAAGTGTATTTCATCTATCAACAGATTAATATAATACTCATGAGGTTGTAAAAATGTATATTTTCTGTTCACATATGATAAAAAGTTGTCTTCACATTGCTCTTTTTGGGGCCCCAAATGTAAATTAGAACAAACTTTTCTGATTGTACATGGATGAGGACTGATAAAAAATCCAGCCTGTCTGATAAATTTGTAAGCACATGGTGAAATAGAATGGAGCAAACATGAGAATATCATAAATGAAGGACTGTATACAATTTTTTTAGAAATTATTAATGACATTTGTTCAATGATAAAGTTGACATTCTTCCTTTTCTCAAATTCAGATAGATCTAAAGACTTTAAAACATTTACTACAAAATTTAAAATCACTTCAACATTATTTGGATTCTTAATTTCTGTGACTGTCTTTTCAATTAATTCCAATAAATCAACAAGTTCAGTTACATTTGATATCTTAGTTACAAATTTACTGTCCTTGCCCATATCTTTTATATGATGGCTATATAAAAACACCAATAAATCAAGATGTTCATTGACAACAACAGAATATGTTATTACTGGTGCAGATTTTTTGTCAATATTCAAGAACATTATTGAATCAAGACTTGTAATAACATTCCAGAAATTGGAAAGCTTCAACATTGATAATTTCTGTTGTAAATCACTTAATGATGATAATTTTCTAGCTTCCATGTAATTTTCTCTTTCTTTCAAACTGTCTTGTAATGCTTTCTGAAGATTTTCTTCTTCCAACTTTTGTCTCTTTACTTGAGGACTCTCTCTGTAAGTTGTTGATTTGCTCAAGTATTTTGGGCAGTTTGGAAAAATAGATGGAACTGCTGTTGGTAGTAAAGATGGTCGTACCAGGGTACGAGGGCATCCTTTATTTCTTGAACTATCTGTTGATGTCCTTACAATTTCAGATGGATGAAAATGTTGCTCACACACCTGTATTAAAATACACAAAAAATAGTTAAAACAATATTTTAATTGTGTATTGCTTTAATAATTACTAAAGCATTATATTATACTAATAAAAAAATATGAGATAATAGATGTTAAAAGTGTAGAAAACATTTATATTTGCTTCTCATATTCTTAGTGCCTCATAACTTCTCTAGCAATATTTGAGATAAATTCAAGATGCATACATTAAAAAAAATCTTAGAAATAATGATAATTGTTACTTAAAAATGTAGGCCTATATATTATGTTTTCCTGCTTGAAAATGCCAAAAAAACAAACAGCAAAAAATTTAAAAGAATAAATCATATAAAATAACTTTGGTTGATTATAAAATGAAGTAGACTATATATATTTAATAATAAATTTGTTTAGAGACAGATTAACAACCCTGTTTATGATACAGATTAAAGTATAAATCTGTACATTTATACTTTAATAGTATACTTTAATACTTCTAATATTTATAAAATCCCTACAAATCCCAACATTAACAAAAACTCATACGTTATTAAAACAAATATCGTTATTAATAATATATTTCTATTAATTAAATATTCAATATTCAAAAATTACTCTTCAAAGCTTTTCCATAATGTATGATTATTAGCAGTGGTTATTTTTATGTTATTTGAGTCACTACGAATTCAGTTTATGTTTAACATTAATTCACTTACCTTTGTTGTTTTGCTGACAATTAAGTTGTCTCTAGGAATGGCTCGTTTCCATTTTTCTGCCAATTCAGCTTCCTTTGGAAATGAAAATACTTGAACTTTTGGTCCAGTCGGATAGTTGCCTTTACAACCTGTTACACAGCACCTGTACGGCATTTTTCACGACCTTATAACAATTTCTAATATTTATAAAATCCCTACAAATCCCTAATATTTATAAAATGCTTCCGTAGCACATTAAACAAACAACAAACCCAAATATTCTAAGAAAATTACCTGCCAAATTACCCAATATTTCAATTTAATTACGATTGTAAGTATAAGCACCTAACTTAACACCATATGACTACTACTGTAATGGCGGACAACAGTTATCCCATGAACACTCAGGCCTGATTATCTAGGTGGCGTTGATTACAGTAAGCAAACTCAATCTTACAATTCGAAAACATTTTATTTTCATAACCATATAAATTACATAAAACAAATATTTAAATCAGATTAAAAGTTATGAAAGAACATCCATAAAATAAATGCTGGAAGAATTCTAAGACATTCATAATTTAAAAGAGAAAAAGAGGTTTATGAATATTTATTTGAAAGGTGTTTCCTGTGATAATTTAAACTAAATTTTCTAGACAACTTTTATGTCTTTTGCCCTGTGTGAATGCGAAGATGACGTATTAAATTATCTTTCCTTGAAAATTTCCGTTTGCAGTGATCACAATCAAATGGCTTTTCTCCTGTATGAATGCGAAGATGATTTACTAGATGATGGCGTCGTGTAAAGCTCCGCTTGCAATGGTCGCAAGTAAAAGGTTTCTCTCCAGAATGAATCCTAATGTGATTTACTAAATTGCACTTATGACTGAATCTTCCAGCGCAGAACTGACAAGAAAATGGTTTTTCTCTCGTGTGAATCCTGCGATGACTTTCTAATTTGGACTTAAAACAGAATTCTTTTTCACAATCTTCACAACGAAGTTTCTTTGCATTTTCATGCACAAAATCTATAGAAAAGTCAAACGATGTTAAATCTGAATTTAAACATCGAAAGCAAATCAGTTATAATAAAGAGAACCACAAATGCAGAAAATATTTTCGACTTATTGGCTATATCTTAAAAATAAATCTATATTTAATTTAAAATGAACCCGATCTCAAAACACTGATTTATTGTAAAATACAGAAAAGAACCGTTTATAACAACTTCGATTCTTTCGGTCCCGACAAAAATTGTTTGAGGTTTATTTACAAAGACATTTTTCTCAATAAATTTATAATAAAGAAAGTCTCCGATGTTTAAATTCATTTTCTCAGTAGTGAATGTTCTCTCCATTCTTCCAAACTTTCAGATTTCATCCGTAATTCTTCGGGTGAAATGTTGGACTCCTCCAAAGTATATCTTAGAAGAAAAAAAACGTAAATATCAAACATTGTATAATAAAACTTTCACTTTTATTGTTAATTTCTCACTTAAAACAAATCTGACAGACTTTACATGACATATAAATAATAAATTTACGTACGATCTTTCGGGATACTTAAGGACAAAACTGGAAAATCTAAAAAATAAACAAGATATATTAATGATCCATAAAGTGATACAATCCTCCGAGTTTTTTCCTTCTCTTAACATTAAAGAGAAATATTTTATGCGCCCCGTTTGAGTGGAAAGACAATTTACGTCTAACGGTATAGACAAAAGATGGCTCAAACCCTTTCAGTCCAGTTTTTCGACGTGCTACGGGGATAAAGCAAACCGTGTCCCTCTTTAAAAATAATAAAATGTTCATTAATTTCACGAAACTGATTTATATTTACATTAATTTATCGATTTACAGTAGTACCTCAGGATACGAACGCTCCAGCATACGAAATTTTTAGGATACGACACGAAATTCGAACATATTTTTGTTCCACGGTACGAACAAAAACTCACCATACGACGTTTCGTTAGTTGGCAGCGCCATTTTTTATTCACTTCTGTTCATCGGTCTGGGTCCGCGTGTTTGCTTCGTGGTGGAAGGATCTCGTTCGATAAAGGAAATCTTCAGGTATTATCAGAAAGTGACCGATTTTATTGAAAAGAAACATCCCGAAAAGGTTCACACTGGCCGTATTGCCGCTTCGGAGTAATGACATTTGCCTAAGTCATTTTAGTAACATTTTAAAAAGTAGGCAAAGCCAAACCTCTTTAAATAGATATTTTACTAAGCGATTTCTATCCAGTGAAATTACTGGTGGAAGTGAGGGAAAGACGGCAAAAAGCGGTAAATAAAAAATTAAAAATAAATATGTTGTAATCAAAACCAGTTTTTAGTTAGGACGCGTTTTAACTAGTTAAAACTAGTTTATACTGGATGTCTCTGTTATAACTAGAATTTACTGCTAGTAAAAAATGAATTTGAGTTAAAACTAGTTTTAACTAGACAGAACCGGTTTTTACAAAATGGCTTAGTAAAAACTATTTCGACCGAGGTCAAAGTTCATTCAACTAACACGTGATAACGATTACAGTCTCTAATTACAATAGTAGCCAGTCCAGAAGATCCAGAAGCCGCAGCTAGTACGAATGCAGAACCCCAAATAATACCAGCTAGTGACGAAGATCCAGAATGTGTAGCTAATGCGAATCGACAGACCTAAATAATAGCAACCAGAGAAAAAGCTCATCTAAACTTGGAATAACAGGCCCAGAGAATGAAATTGGCTTCGGATTCAATACACGCTTCCGTAGAAATCGGTGATAATATAGTTATACCAATCCCTGATGTCGATAGAGCAAAGGCAGATTTCCGTAATATTATCAGAGTGATTCTCCAAAAGGATGAACAAGGTTTGCATTAGTGATGTAACGAATATTCGGTTACTATTCTGTATTCGGCCTATTTTTCACTATTCGGCCGAATACCGAATATTTAATCACTATTCGGCCGAATACCGAATACCTAAAAGCAGGAGTAATAAATAACAAAAACACAGTAAATTAATCATTTTGTTATTTAGATTTAGTATTATCGAGTTAGTGTTGTTTGTTTATATTTACACTGCTGGCCATTAAAATTGCAACACCAGGAAGGAATGATCATACGAACATCAAAATCATATGAAAGGAAGAAGAGGTTGGGATATGCAAATGATTAGTATTTCAGCGCATTTAGATGATGTAGGAGGGACAAACAACCTTTGAAGCACTGCATAAAAGAAAAGTTGTGCAGTGGATTTCTCATTCAGAAATTGCTTTGTAAGGTTGGGATTTCATTAGAATATTGTGTTATGCCTCGAATAACAAGAAGAAATGCTTACCAGCAAGTATTGGAATTCGATAGAGGCAGGATCATTGCCTATCGAGAGTGTGGATTATCGTTCCGTAATATTGTCACCCGCACTGGTCGAAATCCAACTACTGCCATGCGAATATGGAATTGATAAGTTGCTGAGGGTCTTACTGAACAGCATGCAGGATCACAATGCCCTCCCATGAATAACGCCTGAGAGGACAGACATATTGTGAGATCGGCTGTGCAAAGCCATACAACCACATCACAGACCATTAGTCAGGAAATGAGCTTGTTTGCAGCATGTCCAGTATCTGCTTGTATGGTGCGACGATGTTTGCAGCAGCGTGGACTGTCAGCACGGCGACCATTACTTCGGCTTTCCTTGACAATGCAGCATAGAGAGAGACAGCAACTCTGGTGCACCCAACGACAAAGCTGAATACAGGAGTGGCAGAATGTCGTCTTTTCAGACAAGTCCCAGTTCTGCGTGCAGCATTCTGATGACTGTATACGTGTCTGGAGGCTCTGAGGAGACCGCTCCTCGCCTGCTTCCATTCGATATCGACGTAGGGCCCTGCACCTGATGTGATGATACGGGCAGCCATTGGGTACACGACACACACATCTCTAGTTTGCCTCGATAGTAATTTGAACACAATCGGTACATTTCTGACATCTTATGTCCAGTGGTTGTGCCCTATCTTCGAGGCCTGCAAAATGCCATCTTCCAACAAGATAATGCAAGATCTCATGTTGCACGTCGTGTTCTGACCTTCCTCAATACAGAGGGTATTCGATTGTTGCCCTGGCCTGCATGGTCTCCAGATCTCTCACCAATTGAAAACATCTGTCATGAATTGCTGAGAGACTGGCCTGCCACCCCTTTCCAGCTAATACGGTTGATAAAGCGTGGCATAGACTTGAAGCAGCATGGAATAAGTTGCCCATTTCTGTCATCCAAGCCAAGTTTGACTCCATGCCTAACCGAACAAGGGCCGTTTTAGCTGCCAGGGGTGGCAACTGTGTGTACTAATTTTGCACCCCTGTAAACCCCAAACTGCTTGCAAATTTAATCATTTTGTCTTCATGCCATACTGTTTACATACAATAAATATCTTTTTTTATTTGCTTTCCTTCTTGGTGTTGCAATTTTAATGGCCACCAGTGTATTTATAACTTGTAACATGTGCAAAATAAAAATGAAAATAATATTAGTCACATGTATTCACAATTTATAATTACAAGGATCAGCACACGTACAAACCTATTCGTTCGAGAATCGTCGCACATCTGAGGGTCTGACCCTGCCTATCCTTCTTTTTAAGCGCTCGTCTTTGCTCTTTCCTTTCTCTTGCCTCTATCGCTCTAATCCATGTATGCCTGTGCATACATCATAATACGCGCTCACAATACTTTCGATTCGTCACTTTTCCGTCGTAGAGTTCCCATTTTACAATTACGTGACTCAGCCTGGTAATAACGGGAAAAAGAGGCAGATAGGACGTCGATATAAGTCACAGTTATGATTTCACAGATCCGAGACAGCTTGATAGCCCGAACGGCCCCAGGCTTTCGCCCGTGCACGCTAAGTGACTTTCATTACAAGCATTTAGCTTTCCGAAGT